ATGTGTAAGAACTGAAATTTGATAAATAGTTTTATTTCAATTATTGAATATACTAATTAATGTTGAATTTTTTTTTTCTGTTGATTATAAATATAATATTTATTTTAGTTTCAAACTAACGAGTCGAAAAAACTGTAAGCATTAATTATAGTTTCTATTTAAATGTTTATTATTATTAAAATAAAGAAAAGAAACTTACTAAAATTTCAAGTATAAATATATATGTATCATTAGCTTCTTTTATTTTAGTTATTTTATATTTATTAGGTGTATCTTTAAGTTCAATTTTATCTTTTTTCCATGTTATTTTTGGTTCTTGTTTTCCTTGACAACGACATTCAATTTTAATTGATTTTTGTTTTGTATCTTTTGTAATTTTTGGTTTTTCAAATGCTGGAGCTATTCTATCTAATTGTTCTAATGTAGCTTTATCTCCTATTAAAAAAAAAATAAAATTATTCTTATAACATTTATCTCTATCTAATTATCAAATAATAATAATTTACCAGTAACTTTAATAACAATATTTGCTACAGCTGTACCAAGTTCATTTGATAAGGTACATTTATAAACACCACTATCTGATTGAGTTAAATTCTATACACAACAACAAGAAACAAAGTTTTGTTTTTTGTTCTGAGAAAAGAACAATTAAAAATGATCAAACCTTAATATCAAGTGAAATAGTAAATTTATTTCCTCCAATTCGATTCATACGAGCAATAATTTTATCAACATTAAGTAATTCTTTTCCATCTTTTAACCAATGTAATGATGGACTTGGATCAGCAGCAATATCAAATTGAATTGTAGCTGTTTTAGCATCTTGTTTAATTGATGGCTTATTAAGAAACGAAGGTGCAAGTCCGTCTGGTAATCTAATAAATAGAAGAATAAAAAATTTTTTTTTTTTTTATTCAAAAAAAAATTCACAAACTTGAAATCAATTCCTTCAATATTTAATTGTATAGTTGCACCACCATCACCTTTAACATTTTTAGCTGTTAATTTATATGTACCAGTATCTTTTTTAGTTAATTGTAATATTTCAAGAAAAATTCGATGTGTATTTCCTTCAGATAATATTCCTTGTCTATATTTTGTTCCAACACTAATAGCTTTTCCATCAAGTGTCCATGTAAAACTTGGTACTGGATCGGCTGTACATAGACCTTCTAATAATATTGATTCTTCAAACATTCGTACTTGTGGTGCTACAGTAAATGATGGTCGACCAACACCACTACTACTACTACTACTACTACCTTGATCTTGATCTAAATAATTATTTGAAAAAAAAAAAACAAAAAAATTTTTTTTTGTATTCAAAATAATATCTTCAAATGATTATATTCTATCATATATAGAAGAACTTACTATCAAGATTTAATTGAATATGTGCATTGCTTTCTCCTAATTTATTCTTTGCTGAAATTTTATATTTTCCAGCATCAGTTGCATTAACATCATCAATTTCAAGACAGGCAACATATAAATTATTTGGTAATGGATCACAATAGATTAAATAACGACCTGAGTCTGATATTGAAATATCATCACGTGACCAAAATAAATCTGGTTTAGGATCGGCAGAAATTTTACATTCAAATATTAAACGTTTACCATCATTTTCTTGTTTTATAATAGGTTTTTGAATAAATGTTGGTGCAGTACCTTCAACCAAACTTAAAAAAAAAACAATTTTTGTTTTTTGTTTTAATATTTCAATATGTTAGTTATTTGAAGAGAAACAAAAAAATTTTTTTATTTACTTTTCAGTTGGTGGTGCTGCATTAGATTCATCTTCATTTGAAAAATTGAGAGTAACATTAGCTGTTACTTCTCCAGCTTTATTTTTAACAATAATTTTATATGTTCCAGCATCATTTGGACCAAGATCAGTTATTTCAAGTACGACATCATAATTATTTCCTGTTGCTGTATTAAATGTTTGTTTATGTTTAGTTGATGTTGTTGAAATTTTATTTTCATTTTGAAACCAAGTTATATCGGGCTTGGGCGTTCCTTGAACTTGACATTCGAAATAGAGACGTGTAGGATCATCGGGTGATTGTCGAATAGCTGGCGGCTTAGTAAATCGAGGAGCACTCGCTGCCATAGCGTTTTTTCGTCAATCGATCGATTTACTAGCTATTTATCTATCTTAACAATAAAAAATAAAGAGACGAGATATTATCCATCCATTTTCAGTTATATGTATGTCTATATGTAGAAAAAGTATCAAAGAAATAATCATAAAAAAGATTATAGATGGTCGACGACAAGCTAAGACATAACAAGGAAGAAGAAGGAGAAGGAGAAGGAGAAGAAAAACAGGAACAAGACGAAGAAAACCATGTACTATTGTGCGCGGTAGAAAAAATATGTCCTTTCCTGTATTTGCACAAATCGGTGTTGATCATCTAACATTTTCCATCTTGCATAGGAGAAGAAGCAGAAGGAGAACGATATTCTGTTCGTACAATCTCTAATATTAACTAAAAGAGCGAGACATTATGACAAAAGTTCTCTTCTATCGTTTTTCTTTTTTTTTTTCTTCTTTACAAGATATCTGTTGCACATTTTGGCATGTTCGCATCTTCTTCTTCTTCTTCTTCTTCTTCTCTTAGTCGTGTGTATATTGCTCTCTTCTAGAATAAGAACAACAAAATACTGTCTATTGATGGATAATTGTAAGACAGCAGTAGACAACTAGAATGTATGCATGTTACTATCGGTAGGGTGGCGAAAAAAGGAACAAGAATGGATAGAAACGAAAGGTCCTCCTCTAAAAATGAAGAGAACAACTATAAAAAGACAATTGACAAGATAACAACAACAACAACAGCAGTAGTAACTATGAAATATAGCAATATACACAGAGAGAAGAGAAGAGAAGAAAAAAAAAAGAAAGAAGAGTCAACTCAGCATCACATCTATTGCTAACAACAAGAAAATGAGAGACAGAAGACATGAAAGCATATTGCAATCATTCTATATGGACAGAAAACGAGCTAAAAAAGATAAGTAAATGTATTGAGATAAGTCGTCCAATATGATCGACAACTACAATGACGATAGAAAAGAAAGAATGCTAATCGTCCCTGGACATACACAAAAGCATAACTAAGAAAACTCTTTAATTGATATGATGATGACCACTATCAATATACTTGTCTATCAACTATTATAAACTAATTTTACAAAAACAAAAAAAAAACAAGCTTGTTTTGTTTTTCTATGTTTATCTAAATCTTCACTTACATGCCGATCTCAATCTTTATCCAATTCATTTTATGCAGTATACATATATATATATATATACATCTATCGATCTATCTATATATGTATATATATATATATATGTACAAAGAGAGAGAGAGAGGGAGGGAGATAATTAACAAACCTTGTTGAAAAAGGTCGTTGGACTGATGCAAAAAACATCGTATTAGAACAATGGAATTCCTATTTATTTTTTCTTTTTGTTGTTGTGCTAGACAAGAAAAATCGAGATATATAAGCCTATCTCAATAAGAACAACATATACAAATGTACACGTCTAATACTGAGTGTTTTCTTGCCACACGTATTCTAGAAATGTAGGCGTCTACGACTGATGCTGATAATCCTAGTAATATAAGCAAAAAGATGGTTGCACAAGAACGTTGTCCTCAACTATAGGACGATAAAGACAATATGACAATATCGTCAATAGATAGAAAATGTCGTTTTTAGACAGTATAGAAAAAGCTAAGAAAACTAGAAAATAACAAACAGCAACTTCATACGTGATGATTCTTTTTGATGCTATTTATGTTGACTCTAATGCAACTGAGACAATCATGATGATGATAACGAACAAAAGAAGTTTTCTCCAAGAAGAAGAAAAAGGCCAGTTTGCATGTCAATCTGTCGACAAAAAAAAAAAAAAAAGAAACTAGAATAAAGATCACGATCGTTAGACTAAGTATATACAACATCTCAATATCAATAATAAAAAACAAAACAAATCTATTGACTTATATTTTTCTTTCTTCTATACTCTTGAGACAAATATACCTATTTTTTAATGTCTTTCCATATTATCTGAGGTTTTCTATATGTCAAGAAATACGGATGTCATCGTCGTACGTTGACCTTATGGAATTAATCTTTGAGTTTATTCTTTTTTTTTCTATTTTTCTTTGTGCGGTGTTGTCGTTGACAGACTACATGAATACTACGTACAAATGATAGCTGTACTTATTAGGTAATCTATCATTCTAAACATGAGAATGTCTCTTCTAAAAACAACAACAACAAATATCTATGTCATCAAATTATGTATATACTTGATTATCTATTTTTCATTATATATAATTACATTGTAAATTTCCAAAAAAATGAAATTTTATAAATAAATGACATATATTATATATTATTTTTTATCATATGTGAAAATATATTTTGAGTTTTTCTTTCATTTTTATCTATTAAATAACATAACAAATTAACAAAAATAAGATGAATTTGATAATATATCATTTGAATGATGAAGTACATAGAAAACAAAAAGAAAAAAGAACTTATGATTTATTATAGTCATAATAGTAGTAAAATCAATTTGTTGATAAAAAAAAAACTGCAATGATAATCTGACAAAAAGATAGTTTTTCTTCATTAATGACAGATTGACATCCAATGAAGATCAGATAATATAGACAAGGTTTTTTTGTTTTTTTTTTCTTTTTGTGTTTTTGTCAATTTAATATTCTAACTATGGACTTTTATTTTTGATTATTGTAATATTATACTTTTATTTTCATATCTTATCATACAAATGAATACATGTTTATTTATTAATCGGATATCTACATGAATTTTGTCAAATAAATTCACAATAGAATTCTTGAGAATTTCCTACATATGATATATTTATTTCATAAAAAAAAAAGAACAACAACAACAACAACTAAGGGCAAACAATACACATAAGAAAAAAACAAAAGAAGACAATAATGTCAAAAACGTTTTAAAGCAATTATAGTTTCATATATAGATTTATTATAAAATGTTCCTTCTTTTCTATTAACTAAATGTGAAAGCCATCGATTTCGAATCTTTATTTTATGAAATATACCTGAATTTTGTAAACCAGTTTGTGAAGATACATATTCTAATGGTACAGTAAATTTTCGTGCACTTGGCCATAATGCATAAGTGACAATACCAATAGACGAACCATCCTTGAGTAGATAAAGACGACGTATACATCGAGCTGGATAGATTATACAAGCACCAAATATAGCACCGCCTAAAAATGACAATCAATACAAAAAACATATTTTTCTTTTTATTATCAGAATTAAAACAAGTTCAAAAACAAAGAAATAATTAATGATTGAAATCAACTCTTTTTTTTTTCGTTTAAAGTTGATAAAAGTTTAAATTTCGAAATCATTATTATTAAAACTTAAAATATCTTTGACAAATAATAATCTTTACTAATTTGCTTTATTCTATCATATCATACTTTTATTGTAATAAACAATGTTTTGTTTCTATCTATCGTAAACATTTTATTTCAGGATGTCGCCTTCCAGGAAATTTATTGATCTATGTAATATAAAAAAGCTGTACTTCATTTATTACTCGTCATTAATTTCTATTATTTTTGTTTTTTTGTTAAACTCAACTTACTAAGTAAAACAATAACAATATTTGTTGCATATCGAAATCTTGTTGTTGGTACAATTGTTGCTGCACGTTCAATTATTGTTGAATTTGATGTTAAATGTTCTGGTTTAGCTGTAACTGTTCCAAATAAATAAAAACTCCAATAAGCAAGAATATCAAATGTTATAAATTGAAATAAACCAATAGCACCTAATAATGGTAATAATCGATCTTTATATTCAAAAATAAGTATATTTTTTGAAAGAGTTTTTTGAATATTTGAAAAAGCTGATGTTGATGTTTTATTTCGAACTATTGATTTTGTTAGATTATATCCAATATGACGCCATGTTGGACAAAGTACAGAACGAAGTAAAATCATTCTTTCTTTCTTTTTTTTTTGTCTACAAGTTAAAATATTTTTATTATTTTTCTTTTCAGAAATAAAAACTAAACAGACAACAGTATACATTTAATAATATGCTTGAAATAAAATGACAATATGCATATGTATATATACAATGAACACGTATTTATCAGTCCAAATCAAATATACGACTAGATTCAATATCAAAACAATATGTTTGATTTTAAATGCAAACTGGTCTACATATCTCAATCATGTCATTGATCATAGAAATAGAAGCACAAAACAAAACACACACACACACACAGCAAAAACATTATTAAATATGACTAGTACAAAAAAAAACAACGATTATTTTTCTTTTTTTGAGTATTAATATGGACATAGAACTTTAAGAATATAATTTGTTAATAGATCAGGTACTTGAGCACTATCTTCATTAATAGCATAAAGAACTAGAATATATAAAAAATAATTTATAAAATTAAAAAAATAAAATAAAATTTTAAATAATAATAAACTTTTATTTAAATTTTCTAAATGTTCAACTGATAGATATGTTGGATGATCACGATCAAATGGTATTATTGTTGTTAAATACTAGAAATAAAAATATATTACAATATTTAAAATATTTTTTTTTTGTATCATAAGATAAATATCCTTGAGGATAAACTATTACATCAATGTTGTTTTTTTTTATTATTATTTGATTCAATTAAGCATAGAAATCTTTCATCAGAAATTTTTATTTTTTCATCAAAATTATGATTAATTTATTGTCTTGAAAGATTTATCTTTCAATAAAGAAACTATCTTATTATCGTTTAATAATATAGATAATATGAAAATTCTACTATCAGAGTTAATCGATGATTGTATTATATAGATAAAAAGAAAATAAATAAATAAACATGGATATTTCAGCATGTTTTCATTCATGTCATCTATTCATATATATATATATTAATGTTGTTGAAATGTGCTAGTTTGTCTTTTGTATTTCACTAATCAATAAGATAGACTTTTCAAATTTCTGATGTCTTTATTCATAGATAATATTATAATTTAATGCAAATGTGTTCTGAATAATATCCTGTTCACAGATTCGAACCAATGACAATAAAAACTTCATCATCTTATTTAATTTTTGTCTATTTTTATTTCCGATGAGGCAGAATTGTTCGATAATTAAAACATTCTTTCCAATCAACATGACCTCTTTTTTTTTCTTCTTTTCTTTTCTTTCTACATTCCATCTATGCTTTTATCTAATTAACAACAAACGCTAGATAGTAGTAATACTACAGAAAAGAAACGCAAAGAAAGAAAGAAAGAAAGAAAGTTTGTTTAGCAGTTCATATCTATAATAATAAATATTCAGATAACACATTTTATCTCTCACTAGGAAAGAAGAAGAATTCCCGATAGATACAATGAGTATTAATAAATTCACTAGTCTCATACAATCATAATAATCATATCTACTAGGAATGATGATAATAATAAATTAATATTTTCGGATTATATAAAGAATAAAATAAAATTTACCGTTCCCGGTTCAATATGATTGTTATTTCCACGATGTTTTTCAATTTTATCATTTTCATATTGTCGACGTTTATTCTAAACAAAGTAAAAAAAAAAACACAATAGAATTTTCCTATGAAAAAAAAAGAAGATTTATTTAATTAATTATCTTACTTGAATACTAAGTACAAGTGAAATAAATGTATTTTTAGTTTCTTTTTCATATTCAAATTCATCTCGATTATCTAATTCTTGTATAAGTATATTTGATAAATTTTTAATTAATATATTTAATTCATCATATAATTCATTTAATGAATTAATTGATTGATTTTTTAAATAAAATTCATTATTTTTAATACATGATACATGTAAATGTTGTTCATCATCATCATCAACATCAACATCATGGTCACAATAACCTGAATCTGGTGTCATATCTTGTAACATAAAATCAATTTCACTTATAACTTGTTCAGCTGTAAGAAATGGTTCATGATGAAAATTATTTGATGAAACAATAACTGAATGCATATCTAATTTTTCACGTAATTCTTCTTCTTCATCTTCATTTAAATCATCAATTGATATAAATTCATTATCAAAAAAATTTTTTTCATTTATATTATTCATTGCTATATGACAATTTTTTGTTATATGTGGTAATTTTAAATCATGACGTAAAGATGTTTGAAGATTTTCAATTAAATTTGACCATGTACTATTAAAATATAAATAGATTTATATGAAATCAAATAAACAAACAAACTTTGATGTAGAAATAAGATCTATTTGTTTTATAGGAAGAAATTCTTCTGATTCAATTATTTGTTCATTAAAAAAACATGTATTAATTGTATTATCAAATGATTTAACAAGATCTTCAAGTGAAAATGCTTTAAATGAATGTTCTATAATTAAGAATAAAAATAGAAATATTTTTATATATTTAAATTATTTTCTTATACTAACCAAGACTAGTATATAATAAATTATCATTAATTATATTAGAAGATATTTCATCATCAGTCATATCTTCATCATCAATATTATTTGAATAAGAAAATTTAACGATTGGTGCATATGGATTATCATATAAAATTTCTTTTTCAGTTATTTCAATCGACATATTCAGAAAGATGATGTAGAATAGAAAATAAGGATTAATTCAGCTTTTCTTTTTTTTTTTCTATCACATCATTCATTGATGTATATTCTATCTTTTTCTATCTATCTATCGATGATGATTTAATTGGTTTTCATTATTATATAACCAATCATTATTGATAATTTTAATTTTGAAATATTAATCAAAATTGAATTTTGATTATAAAATTTTTTTAAATAAATTTACTTATAATCGTTTTAATTTCGAGGACAACTAGTCTCTGTTATGGTAGACAATCAACCAATCAAGACACTTATCAGCTGATCGGAATGAATCATTGATCAATTTTAGTTAGACAGACAAGTAATATAAAATGAGATGGTGTCTTTTCGTTCTGTTTCCAGTTGTACAATCATATTTATTAGGATGTTATTATGATTATAATCAACCATTAGTCTTACCAGAACAATTGCCTATTGGCGTATGCACACATGTTTTACTTATTGGTGCAATTATCGTTAAGAATCTTGGTGTAAACATTATTCAACATCCATATAATGGATTAAATGCTCTTCAAAGCATGAGAAATTATCGTATACGTGATTCAAATAAATTAAAAGTCATTCCATCACTTATTGGTGATGATATTGAATGGCAAATAGCTATAAAAGATTCTAAATCACGAATGAAATTCATTATATCTCTTGTTGAATTTGCTAAATCTCAAGTAATTAATAAATTTATTTTAATATTTTTTTTAATAATCGAAATTGAATAGAATATTGATGGTCTCGATTTTGATTGGGAATATCCATGTGGTACTTATAAATCATTATATAGTCAGTTTATTGAAGAACTTCGTATAGTTATTCAAAAAACATTTGGTGATGAATTTCTTTTAACGACAGCTGTTGGTGCAGGCAAATATACAATTGATAATTGTTATGAAATTGAACGTCTAGGTCAATTACTTGATCTAATTCATCTAATGACTTATGATTATCATAGTAAGATATTTTCTTTCGTTCGTAACAGAGATGTCCATCGCGGTTGAAAACTGACCGCTGCCGCGCCGCGACGATAAAAGAAAAAAGCTACCGCACCACGGTGATAAAAACAGAAAACCTACCGCGACGCCACCAAAAATAACCATGCCGCGATGATTGTTAGAATAATGTTGTGAATTTTACGATCCGTGACTGTTCAGGACTAAAGCTGTTGTTACCAATCGATAAGATTCGTTGAATCTCATAGTTTTGCACTTGTAAACATTGAAATTCTGTTCGAATTCATGCATTTTTGCATTGTTCTCCAAAAAAACCTACCGTTTCCGCAATAGTTAGTTAAAAAACGACCGCTGCCGCGCCGCCACCGCCACAACGGCAGCGGCGCGATGGACATCTCTGATTTGTAAACAAACTTTTCTATTAATTTAACTTCAGGCATTTATGATAAACAAACAGGTTACAGTTCACCAATTTATCCTAAAAGTATTGAAAAAGATGATGCTCGACAATATAATACAGAATGGAGTGCTGCTTATCTTGTTGAACAAGGTGTACCAAAAAATAAAATTCTTATTGGACTTGAAGGACTTGGTCATACATTTCAATTAAATAATTCATATAATCATGATTTTGCAGCACCTGTTATTGGTGTTGGTTATGGTAATGGATGGATGACATTTATTGAATTTTGTTTGCTTGTTACAACTGTTGGATCACATTGGGATGATGAAGCTAAAGTTAATTATACATATTATAATGATCAATGGACAAATGTTGGTGATGTAAGAGCAGCAGTAGAAAAAGCTTTATTTGTTAAAACAAATAATTATGGAGGTGCATTTACTTTTGTAAGTTTAACTTAGGACTTTTAGTCATGCGCAATTGAGCTCCTCCGTCGACTTTAGGAAAGTTTTAAATGATGTTTAGTAGAGATTGAAATTGTCCGGATTGCTTTTTAATCTTTATAACTAACATTTTATATTTTTTTTTGTCTGAGTTGAAAAGTCGACTGAATATCCAGGAATAGGAATTATTTTCAACTAATAAGTTATAACATTTAGAATGTCACAAATGTTATCTATTCTGAGATACAATGTTTTCACAAAAAACGTTACTTACACACAAGAACTCGAAAAATAGATATCAGAATAAGAAATCATTCATTTGAACTGAAACTTCTAGATTACGAACAAGGTTATGAGACATGAAAAATCCTACAGATTATATCTATACTTCAATAGCCCTTTTAGATCATATTTTAGAAAATTTGTCGAAAAATTTCATTTATATTTAGGGTCTTCATCTTGATGATTCAACAGATATGTGTCGTCATGGAGAAACTTTTCCAATTCATCGTACAGTTGCTCGACATTTACAATAATTGTGATATTTATTTTATTTTTTTTTGTTTTATGAAAAAATATTTGTACTAATAATATATGATTCTGATATTAATAAACAAGAGATAATATATTTATTATTTAAATATTTAGTTTTGTTTTATTTTTGTTTTTTCTTTCTTAGTACATCAATGATGTCGTCGATGTTTCGTTATCTATATACTTTATTTTATTTTTTAACTTTATATATAATAATAATTGATACAAGATCAATAGATGAAAAAGATACGAATAAATTTATTGTTGATAATCTTATAAATGAACAAAATCATGAATTTTTAATCACACTTGCAAATTATCGTCATCGTTTTGAACATTCAATAAATTTTAAAAAAATTCGTTGGACACTTAAACATCGATATGATAAAGCTTATTGTCAATTTTGTGATTTAGTTGTACCAGTAGTAAGTGATTATATTTTTTTTACTGAAAATTTTTTCTATATCTTTCTTAGGTTCGATTACTTATTGAAACAAATCAAACTATTCATATAGAAAATGTTGTTAATGGATTTTGTAGAGAATTTAAATTAATCGATATTGATGTTTGTATTGGTGCTGTTCATGAATATAAAGTACAAAAATTTATTTCTTAAAAACAACAACAACAAAAAAAAACAAAAAGAATTCGTTTTTTCTTTTTTTATTGGAATAGGATGCAGTAATTGAAGTAATATCATTATCAAATTATAATAATAAACAACTTTGTTCATTAGCATTGAATTGTTATAAACGATTTGATTATCCAATATTAACATGGAATGTTACATTTCCTTCTGATAAACCAAAACCATTACCAAAACCACCACAACCACCAAAAGTAATATTACCAATAAGCATTATATCGTTTAGCAATAAGTTTAATAACATCATGTTCACTATCAAGTATTTTACTTGTTCGTGTTACTTGATGCCATGTATAAGTTATTTTTTCATTTGTTATTAATTCATTAGGAAAAAGTTCATTAAGATCTATATTTAAATTTGATGAAACAATTTTATTAATATTTGTTTGAATATAACAACAAATTGAAGTTTCAAGCCAAGCATTATCCGTATTTTTTGGATCATCTATTTAAAAAAAAAAAATTTTTTTTCATAATGTTTTAATTTAAGTCTTACCTATATAAGCAGTACTAACAAATGTTAAATGTTCAATAATTTCATTGATTTTTATTTCATTTTTATTATTATTAAAATTATTCCATTTTCGATAAATATCTGAAAGATATAATTTAAGTGTTTTTTTAATTGCATTCATATTTGTTCCTGTTGTTGATGTAGATAATAAACGATAATAATCATCATTAATTTTTGGTTTTTCCATAATATATTTAAATATTTCTTGTCCAGATTTTATTTCATTTGTACCACACATAATAACAAGATGTATTTGATAATTAACTGCCCAACGTTTTAATTCACCTCGTCCATATAAACCTGTACGACCAAGAGGATTTAATGGATAACCATTTTTATCAATTAAATAATAACCAATAGGATTTGCTGTACGTCGATCAACATTATAATTTATATCAAAAGTATTCCACATAAAATTTTTTGAAATTATTTCTGGATCTATTTCATTTGTATCATTAATTAATGATGTTTGTGTATAATAAGATGGATTATAACTTTAATATGAAATAAAAAGAAAAGATAATTAAAAAATTTTCTAATAATATTACTTTGATAAATCAATAGTCCATGGTACTTGATCATCATTGATTTGTTGACGTTGAATTGATGTTCCTGGATAAAATCCTTTACGACAATATCGATGAATAGGTAGAAAAGATTCTTTAATTGATAGATTATTTAATAAGATTTTCATCTATAAAAAAATAAATATAATTCAAATATCAAAATTTGAAGACAGTACTTGCTGTTGATTATAATGTTTTCTACATGTATTAGCAATAATATGTTGATATGAAGATAAAAATTCTTCTTCATCGAAAAGAATTTTTTCTTCAGATGTTAATTTTGATTGTTTATATTTAATTATTTGTTTTTTTGATTGAAATTTTAATAATTGTTGACAATATTGAAGTTTATCAAATATATCAATTTTTAATTTATTTGATGATTTCATTTTTATTTTTAATTATATATATAATGAATATTATCGATCAACTATTGATGATAATCTATACAAATACATATATTCAATAAGATAATAAAAAAAAAAAGTCACAAACTTAAATAGATAAAAATCATAGAAGAAGATTGTTGAAAATTGTAAGAAAAGCAAAATTTAATGATAAAAAAATAAAAATAAAAACTATTAGGCGCATTATATATATATATTTGATTTTAGCCTGGTTCACCTATATTCACTGTTTTACATTTGTCGGATATTCATGTGGATTTTGCTTATACACCTGGATCACAAGGTGATTGTTCGCAACCTTTATGTTGTCGAGGAGGTCAACCTGGTGAATATTGATAAGATTTCAAATACTTCTAATAGTTATCGTTTGATTTCTTTCTTTTAGCTCCAGGTCATACAGGTGCTGGTTTCTGGTAAGAACGTTTCCCAAAAAAAAGATTAGTTATTATCTTAAGGAAGTTAGCGTAGTTGAGTTCTTAATTTTACATAAAGTTGCAGATTGAAAATCTGTCGCCTCTAGAAAATCGGATATGATTACACAAATTTTTAAATTTCTATCATTTATACTGACTCAAAATCAAAGAGTATATATGATTTATTTAGGGGTGATCTACGTAATTGTGATATTCCATATTGGACAGCAGAAATTATACTTCGATATGCTTCAGAATTAGAAAAAGTAATTATAAATTTAATCTAAATATAAATAATATAAATTTATATAGGTTGATTTTATTTATTATACTGGTGATATTCCACCTCATAATGTTTGGAATCAATCACGTGAACAACAATTATATTCACTCAATACTATTAATGATTTATTAGCTAAAACATTTCCTAATAAAACATTCTATTCTGCAGTTGGTAATCATGAAGCAGGTAAAATTTGATTTCGAATTATAAAAAAAAAAAAAAAACTATTTCTATTATTAAGCTCCATGTAATCTATTTCCAACACCAAATATTCGTTCGGATAATATTTCATGGTTATATCAAGTATTAGCAGATAATTGGATTAAACTTGGACTACCAGAAGATACACGTAAAAGTATTGAACATGGAGGTTTTTATACAACTGTTATACGACCTGGTTTACGTTTAATATCATTGAATATGAACTATTGTTCATGGGAAAATTTTTGGTTATTTATTAATTCAACTGATCCACTTGATCAACTTCAATGGGTAAAATTATTTGAGGATGCAAAAAAAAAACCTAAGAAACTAATAGAACATCTTAGATTTATAGATGATTCAATGGTTACAATATGCTGAAGATCATGGAGAAAAAGTTCATATTATTGGACATCATCCACCAAAACAATGTTTAGCATCGTTTAGTTGGAATTTTAATAAAATTATTAATCGGTAATGATTTGAAATAAAAAAGTTTCTTTTGTTCTAATTCTTTTTGTTTTTTTGAATTTAATTAGATATGAAAATACAATTGCTGGTCAATTTTATGCACATACACATAATGATGAATTTGTTATAAATTATGATGAAATTGATCAACAACGTCCTATATCTATGGTTTCCCTTTTCTTTTTTTTTCATTATTTGAAAATTTTTTTTTTTTTTAATTTCATATTAGGCCTATATAACACCATCATTAACAACATTTTCTAATTTAAATCCAGGTTATCGTGTTTATAAAATAGATGGTAATTATCCTGAAAGTTCATATTGGGTACTTGATCATCGTACTGTAATTATGAATTTAACAGCAACAAATATATATAATCAAACAATATTTCTTGATGAATATGATGCACGAGATGCATATGAAATGAAAAATTTATTTCCAAATGATTGGCATAATTTAATTGAAAGATTAAAAAATAATATTGATGGTCCATTAATGAGTTTAGTATATCAATATTATACTAAATCATATGGAAATGGTAATCAATGTGATCATAATTGTCGTCGAGGACTTTTATGTGATTTTATAACATATCGTTCTGAAGATCCTCATGCATGTGATTCAATTCTAGATTAATTTGTCTTTCTTGATGTTTATATGCAACACCTTTTTTTTTTTTTTTTGTTATATGAAAACTTTATACTGAATATCTCTATTGTTTTATTTTTTGTTTTTTTTGTTTAATCTTGATAAAGAGTATGAACTATGCAACACATGTTGAGCAACGAAAATAAAAACAAAAAAAACAAAATTTCATTTTGTATGATTGATTTTAATATTCAGGACATGTTCTATATTTAAAAATGGGTCAACTAAAAAGATAAGATATCTTATATGAAATATTTTTTTTGTTTTTTTATCTTAAACAGTTAGTTTTAATTTTAACAATGAAGATAGCAAGTTGTTTGCTTGTTGTTTTATTTCTTTTAACTATTTATGTAACAAGAATTGATGTTCGTTCAGTTCTACAATATTCTATTAATCAATTAGTAAACGAAGATGATCAATCGAGTTTAATACATAATAGTGTTAGTAGTTATCGTCATCGTTTTGAACATTCTACTAATTTTCAATCACTTCGATGGTCACTTAGAAAATTAAAAAATGATGAATTATGTGAATTTTGTGATTTAATGGTACCAGTAGTAAGTTGAAAATTTTTATTTCACTCATAACAAAATTAAATTAAAGAAGATTTTCTCATAATCTAATTCAAACCCAAAAACATATTTCGAATTATTTTTTTGTATCATATATTATTAGATTCGAATATTAATTGAAACCAATCGAACATCACATTTAGATGATGTACTTATGTTTATATGTAAAGAATATAAAAAAATTGATCAAAATGTTTGTACAGGTGCAGTTCAAGAATACAAAGTAATCAAATATATATATATAAATGAAATTCTTGTTTCAATTATTATTATTAAAATAGGATGCTGTTCTAGAAATAATTACTACATCACCACTTAATAACAAAGGTTTATGTGCTATTGCATTTCAATGTGAAGCACAATTTGATTTTCCACTTTTAAAATGGAATATTACATTACCTGATAAACCAAAACCACAACCAAAACCACCACAACCACCATCGGTAAGAAAAAAGAAAAATGAAAAATTCGACGACATTATTTATTTTTCTTGTAGCCAGAATCACCTAAATTAACTATTCTTCATCTATCAGATATTCATATTGATTTTGCTTATAAACCAGGATCATTAGCTGATTGTCCTGAACCTTTATGTTGTCGAACAGGTCAACCTGGTAAGTTTGTTCTATGTAATATTCTATTTGAAAAAATTTATTTTACTTTTAAATACATATAGCGGCTAATCAAACAGGTGCAGGTTTCTGGTAAAATTTTTTGATAGGTTTTTTTTTTATATTAAATGAAATTCTTATAGGGGTGATTATAGAAGTTGTGATATACCATATTGGACTGCTGAAGCTTTATTAAAACATATTGTTGAAATTGAAAATGTAAAAAATATTAATTTTTAGAAAAAAAAACAAGTCTTTAGAATTTTTTTGTTCTTAATAGATTGATTTTATTTATTATACTGGTGATTTACCACCTCATAATGTATGGAATCAATCACGTTCTGATCAACTTTATTCAATACGTACTATAAATCAATTATTAACAACACTTTTTCCTAATAAAATATTCTATTCAGCCGTTGGTAATCATGAGGCAGGTATACAACTATCTATTTATGTGTTGTTTCTCTTGAAAATATTCTTCTTGTTTTTTTTTTAAACGTTAAGCACCTTGTAATATGTATCCAACACCTAATATTCGATCTGATAATATATCTTGGTTATATGAAGTATTAGCTGATAATTGGATAAAACTTGGTTTACCAGAAGATACACGTGAAAGTATTTTACAAGGTGCTTTTTATACAACAATAATACGGCCTGGTTTACGTTTAATATCATTGAATATGAATTATTGTGCTCAAGATAATTTTTGGTTATATATTAATTCAACTGATCCTCTTAATCAACTTCAATGGGTAAATTTAATAATAATAATAATTAAATATTAATATTATTTTTTTTTTAGTTTATTCAATGGTTACAATATGCTGAAGATCATGAAGAAAAAGTTCATATTATTGGACATCATCCACCAAATTCATGTTTAACAGCATTTAGTTGGAATTATTATAAAATTATTAATCGGTAATAATTTGAAATAAAAAAATAAGTTTTTTTTTTTCATTTAATTAGATATGAAAATACAATTGCTGGTCAATTTTTTGGACATATACATGCAGATGAATTTACTATATTTTATGATGAAATTGATCAAAAACGTCCTGTTTCAATGGTAAATATTTCTTTTCTTTTTTTTGTGTCTGTTTATCATACATAGAAATTCAAAGATTTATTTTATCTAAGGCTTATATTGGTCCATCAGTAACTACTTATTCACATCTTAATCCAGGTTATCGTATTTTTACAATCGATGGCAATTATTCTGGTAGTTCATATTGGGTACTTGATCATCGTACTGTAATTATGAATTTAACAGCAACAAATATATATAATCAAACAATATTTCTTGATGAATATAATGCACGAGATGCTTATCAAATGAAATATTTATTTCCAAATGATTGGAATGATCTTATTGAAAGATTACAAAATGATATTGATGGTTCATTAATGGGTTTAGTATATCAATATTCTAGAAAATCTCAAAGTACTTATTGTGATCATATTTGTCGACGAGGACTTTTATGTAAATTAAAATCTGCTCGATTTGAAGATCCTCATGCATGTGATTCAATTCCACCATTTTAATAAATATGATATTTTTCTTTTTTTCTTTTTTTCGAATCGAACTCATCATAAAATTTTATGAATGTTTTATTCTTTATTTAAACAAAACAAAGAAGTTATGACATATATTCAAGTGTTATATTTTTTTTTTCAATAAGAATAATTCAAATACTAATAAAAAAAAAAAAGAATTTTTCATTTTTATTTTTTAAATAAAGCATAGAATGTTAAACCCATACCAGCAGTTGTAGCAAAGATATTCCATAATAGAGTAATACGAGACCATAGACGAGCTTTAACATTATTATCAGCTTCTTTATATTTTGTTGTACGAAAAGAAAAAAACATAGCAATAAAACCCATTATTAAACAACCAAAAATAATATTAAAATATGACCATGCATACCATTCATATATTGTTCCAGATTTTTTACATTGTTTTATTGTATTTGGAACAGTAGAATTATCGATATATAATAAATCTATACCTGACATGAGTAAGATAGTATAAGAAAAACAAAAAATGAATACAATCAAATCAGATAAATATAATCATAAAGTTTTTTCTTCTCTTATGATAGTAACTAACAAAACGCTATGAAAGAAGGCACGACTATATAATGAACTAAATTTATCAATATATTATACTTAGTTTGACATAATGATAAGAACAGACAAAATATTAGAGAATCGAATGGCTAGTAAAAGAAAAAAAAATAGAACTACGAAATAGATAAGATGAATAAGGATTATCCTGATTAATCAGACATGAAAACAAGAAATGAACCTGTTTTCTCATTTGTCAAAAATTCGACCTTCGATATCAAATAACTAAAAAAACAAAAAAAATATAACCTTAATGATCTTCTAAGAACAAAAAAGTTTTATCAGACATATTTTAAAAAATTTTTATTTTTTTTAATCATATAATTTTTTTAAAATTAATATTTAAAAAGTATGAAAGTACAAAAAAATATCGAATTTCATCAATTATTTTTCTATTCATGGTAAAATTTCAATTAAATGAAATGTTTTCAATATTATTTGATTATCTCTTTTAAGTTGTTTATAAACAGGATGTTTTTATCAAGTCTGAATTTTGACAAATATTAATTTATATGTAAACAAGGAATGATGTCAAACTGAATGTACTTATATGAAAATTGAGTATTCAAGTCAACGTTTCAAATAACATAATATCGAATGAACATCTTCTCTTTTATTCAAGTAATAATATAATTATTACAACCATATCTGTTAACTAATTTGTATTTGCTCACTTATTTAAAATGAAAGAAAGATATGAAACACTGTTTGCATAATAAAAATTTTTCATTGGACTTGGGATGTGGCTGTGAGTGTGACGGTGGAAGCAGTCTGTATTCCCACCCACACATACACCCTTATTGGACACACTAATAGTTAAAGGATTAAATAACATTTGTATGTGTATTATTTTAGTTTTTACTTTGAATGATCAGTTTTGTTATTATTATTAATACTATATTTTTATATTAGATACAATTATTTCGAACTAATCTTCAGTCGATTATCAACACAATTAACACATAAAAAAGGCAAAATTTTTTATGTTTAAGTATTGCTGTTCTTTAATATTGCAATGTTACCAAAAAGAATAGCTATACATAGGAAATTTGGTATTTCTTACTTATTAATTATGTTGATAATCAATTGAAGATCAGTCGGAAATATTCACAAGTTTTTTTTTTTAAATAAGTGCAAAACCCTTTAGACCATGTATCAAATTGTTGTCGTAGATTTAATATTTCGATAGATTCATTCACAAGTAAAGTGGTGAATTGTCGTTTCGCCGAAGCCTTAATTGATTTTTTTTCTGTTTCGTCGAAAAATTGAACTCTGACGAAAATAGTAGGATTAAAGTAAGTAGCTGAATTGCTTTTATTTTTTTAGGCAATATTTTTTTTTTCTGAAGAAACTGATTAAGAGTGCGTGTGAGTGACGGTGAAGTATTCTGTTCGTTGAAATCAAAATATTCTCTCACATGTACAGACTGTAAATAACAAACATTAACATTAGAAGGATATATTGAAAAAGTTATGTGATTAAATAGTATAAAAATATATTGATTTTTTTGTTTTCTACACATGTTTTTCTCTCTAATACCTTGTGTAGACGTACCTAATACTTCTCTCTAATAAGTGTTTTGAAAAAAAAAATCATAGAAAATTATTCATCATTATTTATGATTAGTATGTTTAAAAAAATCTCATCAAACAGAATAAGTTGCTCTCTCCCTATTCATTGCAATTTTATTTTCGACGAAACGAGACTTAAATCAAATGAAGTTTAAATATTTAATTTATCACGAGTTAATTCAAGATTACATTTTAATATTGGATCTGTTCAAAGATATTGTAATGTTTTACAACTTAATTTGAATGGATAAACAATTGATTGAAGATATAGTAATTTAAGACTTAAAAAAAAATAGAAAATCATTCACGAGTATGCTTTTAGATTCTCTGTGGGTGATTGT